GAGGACGAGGAGGGGAGGGAGGACGAGGAGGGGGGGAGGAGGGGGAGGGAGGACGAGGAGAGGAGGGAGGACGCACCGAACAGACACGGACTAGGAGGAGGGGGGGGGAGAGAGGCAGGGGCAGCAAGCACGCACGTGCGGGCGGACGGGGGCACGGGCGGGGACAGTCGTCAGCTGCTCGCGGTCGGCGGCTGGGGGCTGGCGGGGGCTGCGGCGTGGGCGGGGACGGAGGCAGGCGGGGGCAACGGCGTGGGCGGGGACAGGGGCCGGGGGCGGAGGGCGTGGTCGTCGTCGTCGGCGGCCGTTGGGGGCGGCCGGCGAACGGCCGTCGGACCAGTAGTCGGCGCTGCGCGCCCGCGCGGCCGGCGGGCGTCAAAGCCTTGGGGCGGCTCGGGGAGAGGCGGCCGCGCCAGCGCTGCGGCGGCGAGCGCTTCTCACCGCTCACGCGGCGTCAGCCGTCGACGCCGCGGGCCCGGCCGCCAGGTGCGCTGGCGTCGCGCCTGGTCGCGGCTCGAGGCGACGCAGCACTGCCCGCGCGCTCTCCCTGTGCAGGGAGATGGAGCGTCGCTGGGCAAGCTGCGCCGCCGCGGGTGCGGCGTCCTCTCCTGAGGCGTCGGCGAGCCGCTTGGCAAGGGCCGCGAAAGCGCGGCGCGCCTGCCGCCCCCATCCGCCGCCGTGCGCCTCGCATACCACTGGTATTAAAAAGAGGCCCGCCTCAGAGCAGCGGCGCTGGGTGTCGTGGTGGAGGCGCTTGCGCTCCTCGTAGCGGTCCGCCGCCGCGCTCGCCGCCTCGACCGAAGCCGCCAGCACGTCCGCGCGGAGCCCGCTGGTGACGGCAGCAAAGTCCAGGGCCGCGGGTATGCCACTGCGCCAGCGGCATCGAGCCATGTTTTTATGTCGTATCGCGCCTTCGGCTACTGCCCATTCTCCATATATTCTTTCTTCCATTGTATCGAAGACGCCTGCGGCGAATCACCACCGCCTTCCAGAGACATCGGACCATGCTTTTACGTCGCATCGGCCTCGGGACAATACCCATTTTCAATATATTCTTTTTCCATTGTATCAGAGTCGCCTGCGGCGAATCACCACCGCCTTCCGGCCTTCAAATACATCGGATCATGTGTTTACATCGTATCGGCCTTAGGCCAATGCCCATTTTCAATGTACAGTGGGGGCGCGTGCCAAGAAACCAATTGGATTTTGCCAGGGTGCCCTGGATTTCTTGGACTTCGATGGGTCCCCAATAAGATCTGGATGATTTTCGCTCGGCAAATTTTGATTTTCATTGAACAAATCGCGGATTCCAGGGTTGGGTTTCTTGCGGAGGTTTCTTGTGGTCGAGCTCCCACGGTAGTCTTTCTTCCGTTGTATCGAAGACGCCTGCGGCGAATCGCCGCCGCTTGCGGGAAGTGCGGGCAGGGCGGGGCCGCCGGGGCGTCGCGCGGATGTGTCGCGGTGGCCGCCTCGAGAGCGTTCCTGGACAGCAGAGGCGTGGGGCGTCTGGACACGCTTCCAAGGAAAGCTGACATGAATTCGGGATCTTGGAATTATGTCTCATTGCGCCCACGCTACCCATGCAACTGCCTGCGTGCTGAAAATTACGTCACTCGCCAAGTGCTCATGACTCTTCCTCTGGGCAACGAGGTAAATCAAGTTGGCGGCAACCGCGATGCAAAGCGTCAGTTCGCGCCCTTCGCCAACATGGATCTCATTGGTCTCATGCATGGCGGCGTCCAGTGCGGAAATACTGCAAATCCAAGCGATGTTATACATAACTACGTATCTAGTAACTTGGGTCGGCGTGGGAGGAGCAACTAGGCCGCATTTCAGGCCGAGTGGTAATGATGATAAACCGGCATCCAGCTTCCATGCGTGGCACATGGTTGTCTCACACTGAGGCGCGAGCGTCGCCGCTGCAGCACACAACAATAAAAGCGCGACTTCAAAATATATTCGACAATTGGCAACAAGGAGAAGTACACCCGCGAGTTTTTTTCTCGTAACAGCCGTGGCATATCCAACCATGAGCCCCCAATGCGGATTGGCTAAGAATTTGATGAGATGGGCAGGGGCTAAAGTATTGACGCTTCGCGTATCCCCACGGCTGTCGTGACCCGTAGTGCTTCTGACTCCGCTAGCGCCTTCGCTAGCGGACGCGACCGGGAAAAAATATCCCCACGGCGCTTGCGACCTTCTGACGGCGTCTGCGGTTTTCCCCGTGGCATGTTGGTTTGCGACTTTCTGACGGCGTTCGGCTCTTCCGCTTCGCTTGCGATCAAAAATCCCCACCAGCCCATCCAGAAACGATCAGCAGGGGAGTTTGTCAATCAGGGACGGCTAGAAGCATACAGTTGCGCGGTCGTCTTCAGAAAAAAAACAAGGGTCACAAATAGCTTCCCGCATTGAAGTTTAGATGGAAATCGGTGCAATATACGGCGTGGTGATCCCCGTGGTTAATGTCTCTAGCGCAGGTGGCTGTATCCACCCTGGGCCATGGGAAACAAGGATCACACAGAGCTTCCCGCAACGAAGGTTAATATGGAATTCAGTGCAAGATACGCCGGGGTCTTCGCTGTGATAAGTGTCTCTGGCGCAGGTAACTGTATCTTTCATTCTTCGCCCTTGTCGCACAGCTGACAGTCGCATCCCGATATGCATCTTTGATCCTGCCCCCGCACTGAAGTTTATCTTAAACTCGCGTGCGTCTGCTGGTGATGGTGGTGGTGGTGGCGGTGGTGGTGATGATGCTGCTGGTGTTGCTGCTTGTGGTGCTCTGTTGCCCTCTTGGAGCCATCTTGGAGCAAGTGGTGCTACTGGTGCTGGTGATGCCTGGGGCCATATTGGGGGCAAGAGGAGGAGGAGTAGGAGGAACAGGAGGAGGAGGAAGACAACAGAAAAGGAGGAAGGGAAGGAGGAGGAGGAGGAGCAGGAGGAGGAGCAGGAGGAACGCGGCGCGAGGAGGATGAACTGAGGCCCGACCGCCTCACATCTGAGTCCATCGTAGAATCGGATTTTGTATTCTATGGGGGCCCCAGAGGTTCTTGCAAGAGGTTATTGGGGAACTCTTGGGGCCATCTTACGGGCTCTCTCGGGCTCCTGGGGGGCTCTCTTGGGGGTCTTTTGGGGCTCTCTTGAGGCTCTCTTGGGGCTCTTTTGGAGACTATTCGGGCCCTCTTGGGGCTCTTTTGGGGGGTCTGGGAGGCCTCTTGGGGTCGTTTTGGACCCCGTCGCTCAAAACTAGGGGGGTCATACATTTAGCCCCCCCCCCCCCTCGGAGGATCAAACGAGGCGTCTTGGGGCCCTCTTGGACCGCTCGTGGGGCGCTCTTGGGGCCGTCTTGGGGCCCTCTTGGGCCTCTCTTGGGGCTATGTTGGGCCATCTTGGGGTCATCTTGGCGCCTCAAGAGCCCATCGGACGCGAAAAAAGCGCAAAAGGCAACCCACATCGATGTTCCTTAGGTCATACCACAAGGGCATAAGCAATCTGATCTCCGAGCACGGTGGCCCGTGGGGCGAGCGGTGGCAGGCCTTGGCCAGGACGTGGCGCGCCCATCTCCAGAGACACTGGCGCACGCCTGCCGCCAGGGCGCTCGCAGCAGCGGACGGGCTGGCTACTGCTCGCGTCATCACCCGGACAGAGAACTTGCTCCGCGGCAGGGGGACAGGGCGCCTCGGCACACGGCGGGGGAGAGGGAGGCCCATCCGTTGGGTAGAGCATGCGTGATGCTGTGTGTGCATGCGCATTGTATGCCAGTGTGTTTGTGTGTTGACAGCTTCCTGTCCGCTGCGCTCATCGGCGCCGAATAATGGGTTTTTGAACCCATGTTGGCCTCTTGTGGGGGGTCCTTGGGGGACTCGGAGGGCACTGGAAACCGTCGTGGGGCCGTCTTGAGGCTTCTTGGATGCGTGTTGGAGGCTATCTTGAGCCGTCCTGAGGTATCTTGGGCGATCTTGAAGGCCATCTTGGGCTAACTGAAGCCCTCTTGATGCTATCTTGGGCCATCTTGGACGCTCTAACCCCTCGCGGGGGAGCCCGTCCAGACCCGGGGGGGGTAAACCTCCCGAGCAGGGAAAGGAAGGAGGCTGGAAAAGGAAAACGCTCTAGACCACCTGCGCCCAGAGGGCTGGTGGGATTATCAATACTGCTACCAGTACCACTACCAGTACCACTACTACTACTACTAGTGCTACTACTACTACTACTACTACTACTACTACTACTACTACTACTACTACGACTACTGCCACTACTACTACTACTACGACTACTACTACTACTACTACTACTACCACTACTGCTACTACTACTACTACAACTACTACTTCTACTTTTCTTACTACTTGGACTACTACTACTACTACTACTACTACTACTACTACTACTACTACTACTACTACTACTACTACTACTACTACTACTACTACTACTACTACTACTACTACTACTACTACTACTACTACTACTACTACTACTACTACTACTACTACTACTACTACTACTACTACTACTACTACTACTACTACCACCACCACCACCACCACCACCACCACCACCACCACCACCACCACTACTAGTAGTAAAACTATCACCCCTCCTCCCCTTCCCTCCGCGCGCCGACTCTCTATTAGCCTGGACGGTTCAGTTTTGGCGTTGGTTCGGTCGGCGCCTCCCGGAGGAAAGAGGGAGGGTGGGCGGGAGGGAAGGAGGGAGAAAGAGATGATGAGGAGACCAGTGAGTGAGTGAGTGAGAGAGTGAGTGAGAGAGTGGGTGAGTGAGTGAGTGATTGATTGAGTGAGTGAGTGAGTGAGTGAAAGAGTGAGTGAGTGAGTGAGTGAGTGAGTGAGTGAGTGAGTGAGTGAGTGGTTCAACGAGAACTTTAAGGAGGAGGAGGAGGCGGAGGAGGGGGAGGAGGAGGAGGAGGAGGAGGAGGAGGAGGAGGAGGAGGAGGAGGAGGATGAGGAGGATACCGTCTCAGGGTCCGACCGCGACCACAGGAGAGCGGCGGTGGCGAGGGCGACGGCGCAGGCGCCGCGGCGCAGCGGCCCGCTCCGCGGAGGCGCAGGAACGAGGGGCGGAGGCGGGGTCAGCCACGCGCAGGGAGGGGGCGGGGGCAGGGGGGAAGGCTTCTGAGAAGGAGGCTTCTTAGGAGGCGTGGGCAGTATACCTATGAGTGTAAGGCCGGCGCCGTCTAAGAAGCAGCCTCCCTCTCAGAGGCCTTGCCCCCTTCCCCCTACCCCCCTTGTGCGCGCCGCCGACCAGGGGGGGGCAAGTAGGCCGCCAACCAAGGGGGAGGGGAGGGAGAGAGACATTGGCGAGGGAGGGAGGGAGGGAGGTCGGGAGTGAGGGGCGGCGCCAGGGGCTGACACTTTTGAGGCGGCGCTGGAGGGCTGCGCAGCTGCGCAGAAGGACGGGACGCTGATGCGCTGCATGGTGCTCGTGAGGGAGGAGGAAGAAGAGGAGGAGGAGGCGGAGGAGGAGGAAGGAGAGAAGAGGAGGAGGAGGAGGCGGAGTAAGAGGAGGTCTTCCGGCGTCTCCGGAAGTCTTCGAGGGCCCGTCGGACGTTTTCGGCTGCCTCGGGAGGTTCTCGGAGGCCCGCGGAGGTCTGTATTGGAGAGGGGGGGGGGGGCAGAGAGCGGGCGGCGGGATCTGCACGCATCCACCACACCACTCCTCCTCTCCTCCTCCTCCTCCTCCTCCTCCTCCTCCTCCTCCTCCTCCTCCTCCTCCCTCCTCCTCCTCCTCCTCCTCCTCCTCCTCCTCCTCCTCCTCCTCCTCCTCCTCCTCCTCCTCCACTCCTCCTCCTCCTCCTCCTCCTCCTCCTCCTCCTCCTCCTCAGAGATCCCCGATTTGCCACGGCCCGGTCTTGCCCTGGCCCTGGCTTTGTCTCGCACGCGCGTCTCGCCGACCGCTTCCGCCTAGAGGGCGGCGCAGCACGCGAGCGGGAACTGGTTGTCAGGAGCCGGGGAGGATGCTGAAGGCATTCGGTCGATCTCCACTTCTCCTCTGCACACGCACCGCCTGATGCGAGGCCCTACCCGCCCTGAACTGACCTGGCTTCGTCTTAGCCCGCCGCCAGGCGCCGACGACGACGACGACATCTCCAGCGAGGACTTCGAGGAGCCCCTCGGGCGAGGGCCTGCTGGGCAGGGCCTGCCGGGCGAGTGCCAGTAGCGGGACCCCGGAGCTGCCCGCCGCCGAGGCTGCCGAGGGCCTGCGCAGAGGGCTGCTGCCAGAGCCCCAGCGCGCGGCCGCCGGTGGAGCTGCCGCTCGCGCAGGGCCCGTCGCTCAGGGGTAACGTTGAGGGGTGGGGTGTCGGCCACGCGCAGAGGGGGGCATAGGGGGGAGGGGAGAAGGCTTCTTAGAAGCACCCCTGCTTCTCGGACGGCGCGGGCCTCCTCTACGTGTGTGATGCCGACGACCTTCTACGAAGCAGCCTCATTCTGAGAGGCCTTCCCCCCTCCCCCATACCCCCCTTGTGCGCGCCGCCGAGGATAGGCTCAGAGGTGATGCGCCGAACTCGAATCGCACACTGATCACCGAGAGGGACCTGACAGCCTACCCAGCCCAGGAACGTGCGGATGCGCCTTCGGGGGGGTGCCCACTGCCGATCTCTCGGCGAGGCATCGCCGCCTTCCGCCCCTGGGCTGCCCCCCCCCAAACGTTCCCCCCCCGTCTTGGAGTAGGAAGAGATGCCGATGCTGCTGCTCGTCCCGGCGACCGGTAAAGCTGACGTGACCTGCCGTGGGCAGGGCCTCAGGGGAGAGAGAGGTGTCGATGCCGCTGCGCCTCGCCCCGCTCGGAGGGACGCCAACTACACACCACCACCAGTCCTGGCCAGGCACTTCCTGGGCCCTGGATCGGTCCGGTCCGTAGACACGCTAACGGCGATGTAGGTAACGGCGATGTAGGTTTCGGTATGTGGGAACACGTGGCTCGTGCTTTCCTACAATTCGCCGTGTCGTATTAGGAAAGTGTGGATCGTGATCTCCTGCAAGCTGGTTCCCGACGCCACCGTCAAAGCAACATCGCCGTTGGCGCGGTCCTGGTCGGTGTGCACCCGTCCAGGGCCTACGACAGGCATGGCCAGGGCTGCTGGTGGTGTACAGGCGGCCCGGATTAGGAGGTCGACCCTGCCAAATCGAGGGCACCCTCGTGTCCCGTGTCTTGCGACCCGTGCCTCCTGCACTTCTGTGGCAGCGTGGCCCTCGGAAGGTCGGGAGACTCTCCATGGGGGGGGATCCCATGGGTGGGCAGGAGGGGATCCCCCCCATGGGATCCCCTCCTGCCCCCCCCTGGGATCCCCAGGGGATCCTATGGGATCCCCCCCCCTGGGATCCTGTCCCCCCATGGGATCCCCCCCCCCCCCATGAAGAGAATTTCCCTAGCAGGGTCTCGTGTCCTCTCGCGCGTCCTGTCCAATCAAGCCCGACGGTGCTGCTGGCGCGCTCCTGCCCGCTCCCACCCCGTCCGGGCCTCCCGGGGGGGCGCCCCCTCGCCGCCGCGGCCGCTCGCCTCGAGCCTCTGGCCGGAGGGCGCCCCCCGGGGATAGGCTCCGGGAGCAGCCACCTCCTCCTCCTCCTCCTCCTCCTCCTCCTCCTCCTCCTCCTCCTCCTCCTCCTCCTCCTCTCCTCCTCCTCCTCCTCCTCCTCCTCCTCCTCCTCCTCCTCCTCCTCCTCCTCCCGCATCGCGCGACGGACCCGCGCCGCCGACCCTCCCCGCGGCGCAAGTACTGTCAAAAACCCTAATAAGGACGCGCGACTTTGTTCAGGGCACCCTTGCGTCCATGCTCTTCCTTGCCCTTGCGTCATTGAGATCTTCGTCATCCGCCGCCCCAGGAATCCCAGCTTCGGCTTCCAAGGGTCTGGCGTCCTTACCGCGCGTCCTTATTAGGGTTTTTGACCGTACCCATCGGTCGTTGAAGGCAGGGATTCTTGGATTCCCAGATTCCAGTTCTCCCTCCCTCGTTCCTCTTCCCCTCCCCTCTGGTCCTCCCTCCTCTTCCCTCGTTCCTCTCCCCCTCTCCTTCTCCCTTGGCGTGGTGTCCATCGCTTACCGCGCAGTCAGCAGTTTCTTAGCGAAGTGTGGCCGAAGTGCTGCGAATCGCGAGGCCGAGAGTTACTCATGAGTTTGGGTTGTTCTATCGCCCGCACACCAACAACAACAACAACCACCATATTCCAGTCTACTTTAATAAGCGTCTTCCTGCTTCAGTGATCGAGCGGCCTCACCCTTTCCGTCCTCCTCAGGGGGCGGACGGACCCCAATCTGCTTTCAGCGCCTTCCTGCTTCGTGCTCCTGCTTCCTTCTTCCGACCGATGGGTAGCGGCACAGGCGGCCCGGATTGGTAGGTCGACCCGGCGAGATGAAGGGTACCCTCGTGTCCTGTGTCTTGCGACCCGTGCCTCCCTGCGTTTCTGTGGCAGCGTGGCCCTCGGAAGGTCGGGAGACTCTCCATGGGGGGGGGGGATCCCATGGGGGGGCAGGAGGGGATCCCCCCCCATGGATCCCCTCCTGCCCCCCCCCTGGATCCCCAGGGGATCCCATGGGATCCCCCCCCCTGGGATCCTGTCCCCCCATGGGATCCTATCCCCCCCTGTGGCAACGCGGCCATCGGAAGGGTCTTGTGTCTTCCCGCGCGTCCTCTCCAATGAAGCCCGACGGTACAGCCGGGGCGCTGAAGAAGGAACCCGTTTCGTTTGGGAAGGGGCTCCGTGCTCTTTAGTTGTTTTACAGCGCGCCTTAGGTTTTCTGGAGGCTTTCCCTGCAACATCGGAGTTGAAGGTATGGGAAAAAGGGGGCCTCCTTCCTTTTTGGGGTTCCTTGTGAGTTTGACTTACGGGAAAAAGGGCCTCGTTCCTTATTTGGGGTTCTCGTGAGTTTAACGTATGGGAAAAAAAGGGCTTCGTTCCTTGAAAAAGGGGCCTCGTTCCTTATTTGGGGCTCCTCGGGTCAACGCCCCAACGGTGTCGGCATCGTCTTGCTCCCCTCGCTTCCGCCCCCGCCGAGGGGGCCCTTGCCTGGCCAGGCAGCCTGCGCGCCAGAGCGGTGACCGCTCCTGCTGCTCCTCCCTCGGCTCCAGCGCCGCCTGCCTCCCTCGTCGTCGTCGTCGTCGTCGTCTTCCTCCTCCTCCGCCTCCTCCTCCTCCGCCTCCTCCTCCTCCTACCTCGCGTCCTCGCCCTCCTCCCTCGCCACCCTCGCTCCCTCTCGCCCTTCCCCTCAATCCCTCCATCTCTCTCTCTCTCTCTCTCTCTCTCTCTCCGTCTCTCTCTCTCTCTCTCTCCCTCTCTCTCTCTCTCTCTCTCTCTCCCTCCCTCTTTCCTTTTTTGTTGTTCTCTCTCTCTCTCACTCTCCCCTCCTCCCGCTTTCACGCTGGCCAGACTTGAAGCATCGAGGCCCGCAGCGCTCGTAAGGAACGTGCAGAGATGAACACCGACTTGGGCTTGTTGGCCTACAGACTAGACCTCGATGGGCGCAGCAAGAGCCCTCCCGCTCCTCCTTCTCCCACCTCGTCGTCCTCCTCCTCCTTATCCTCCTCCTCCTCCTCCTCCTCCTCCTCCTCCTCCTCCCTTCTGCTCCTCTTCCTCCTCCTCCTCCTCCTCCTCCTCCTCCTTCCTCCCCTCCTCCTCCTCCTCCTCCTCCCCCCTCCGTCGTCGTCCTCCTCCTCCTCCTCCTCCTCCTCCTCCTCCTCCTCCTCCTCCCTCCTCCCTCTCTCCTCCTCCTCCTCCTCCTCCTCCTCCTCCTCCTTCCTCCTCCTCATCCTGCTCCTCCCTTCTGCCCCCTCCTCTTCTCCTCCTCCTCCTCCTCCTCCTCCTCCTCCTCCTCCTCCTCCTTCTCCTCCTCCTCCTCCTGCCTCCTGCTCCTCCCCCCCTCTCTTCGTCGGCGTCGTCCCTCCTCCTCCTCCTCCTCTCCTCATCCTCTCCTCCGTTCTCCCTGCTTGCTGCTGCTGCTGGCTGCTGCTGCTGCCTGCTGCCCTCCCCTCCTCCTCCTCCTCCTCCTCCTCCTCCTCCTCCTCCTCCTCCTCCTCCTCCTCTGCCTCCTCCTCCTCTGTTCGTCCTCTTATCATGATTGGTATTAGTTTTGTGTTCCTGATGTTTTTGTGTATACGTAGTTTCATTGCTGTTTGGTATTGTGCTATGTTTTCCTCATCATCGTCCGCATCATCATCATCATCATCATCATCATCATCATCATCATCATCATCATCATCATCATCATCATCATCATCATCATCATCATCGTCAGCAGCATCAGCATCAGCATCATCAGCATCATCATCATCATCATCATCATCATCATCAGCATCAGCATCAGCATCAGCATCAGCATCAGCATCAGCATCCTCATCCTCATCCTCATCCTCGTCCTCATCCTCATCCTCATCCTCAATCATCAGCAGCATCAGCAGCATCATCATCAACATCAACATTATCAGCAGCAGCATCATCATCATCATCAGCATCATCATCAGCATCATTAATCATCATCCTCACCTCATCACCCTCATCATCCTCGTCTTCCTCATCATCCTCATCCTCCATCCTCATCCCCCTCCTCCTCCTCCTCCTCCTCCTCCTCCTCCTCTCCGTCCTCCTCCTCCTCCTCCTCCTCCTCCTCCTCCTCCGTCCTCCTTCATCCTCGTCCTCCTCCTCCTCCTCCTCCTTATCATCCTGCTCCTCCCTTCTTCTCCTCCTCCTCCTCCTCCTCCTCCTCCTCCTCCTCCTCCTCCTCCTCCACCGTCCCTCCTCCTCCTCCTCCTCCTCCTCCTCCTCCTCCTCCTCCTCCTCCTCCTCCTCCTCCTCCTCGTCTTCCTCCATGACGCTGACGCGGAAGGCCGTGTCGCGCTGGAGCGCCGAGGCCTCGCCCTCGCCCCTCCTCGGACAGAGAGCAGACACCACAGGCCTCAGCTGTGAAGGCCGACGAGGGCGACGGCGGGGGGCTCGACGATGCCAGGCCGGGGTCGCTCGAAATCGGAGCGCTGGGGAGGGGCGCCGAGCGGCCGACCTCCATAGCCGCCAGGGCGGAGCGAGGGGTGGGGGGGCAGGAAGAGAGGGGCGGGGGGGAGGTGAGGCGAGGGCGGTCGCGGAGCGAGGCGAAGTGAGAAGCGAGCGCTGCCCCGCGGCGCCACGAGGGCCGAGCGCAGGGCGAGCCCGAGTGCCACCACTGCAGGCAGCGCTGTAGCGTGGCAGCCTCCTCCGCGTCCGCGGTCGCTCGCCTCCGCTCCGGCGGCGGCAAGACGCGAGCCTCCCGAGTCCGCGCGAGACGCAGGCCCCGCCCACCCTCGCCGAGCTTGAGGCCTCCGCCGCCTCACGGGCGGGGCGGGCTCGGCCAGAGGCCCGCTGGCGGGGACCTCTCTCTTAGAGGCCCCAGAGGTCTGGGAGCCCTGCGGGTGCTCAGAGCAGCCGGAGGAGGGAGGAGGAGTAAGGAGGAGGAGGAGGAGGAGGAGGAGGAGGAGGAGGAGGAGGAGGAGGAGGGATGAGGGATGAGGGATGAGGGATGAGGGACGAAGAGGAGGATGATGAGGAGGTGGAGGAGTAGGAGTCGGAGGAGGAGGAGGAGGAGGAGGAGGAGGAGGAGGAGGAGGAGGCTGAGGAGGAGGAGGCTGAGGAGGGAGGACCAGTGTAAACCCAAGATTCATCAAGGATGTTGGAATACACCCTCCCTCCAAGCTCCGCTTTCACAGGACCCTGCAAGGTTTCACGTCCACTGCGGGAAGCGCCCCGTTGGCAGACAACCGTGAAAAATCCGGAAGCGTGCCAATACGCCATTCTCAGGGCTTCAATGCCACGAGTCAACCTGATTGTTGCGTCTTGACGACTTTGAATCGTGCCTCAACATCTTTTCTGGAGTTCCAGCACCGCGAATCAACG